CCTTTGCAATTTCCTAAATGACAGGAGCATTTTTTTTTCTAATGAGGTAACTTTCTTTATTTTGAGTGTGTACCGGGGATCGAACTTGGGACCTTGCGCTTGCAAGACAGGCGCCGGAAGCACTGAGCTAAATCCCCGGCCCCATAATGAGGTAACTTTTGATGGGCTCCTAGACATCCTCAGGATGGAAGCTGACTGGCAGGGAATGAAGCGTGTGATTGAAGCACTGGAACTTTCCTATTTAATACTGTACTTACTTGCAGTAAGGCAAGAAAAAAAATGAGAGACATTCAGATTGGAAAGGAAGAAATAAAACTGTCTTTAGTAACAGAAAACATGATTTTCCATGTTCTGTATGATAATGGAACATGGACAGACGCAGAACACCAGAATACCCACACATGTATGTTCAACTGATTTTCAACAAACCTGCCAAAGTAATTCAAAGGGAGAAAGAGAAGTCTTCAATACATGGTTCTGGAACAACTGAACATCTGTGTGGTGGATTAACTAATGGTCAACTTGGAATGCCAGCTGAACTGAATTGGCGTGGTTCTGGGTGTGGAAGAACCACCTGAGAATTGCTGCCAAGGGCATAGAAGGAGAACAGGAGCAGAAGATTGTACGCTGTTGATTTTCCTCGAAAAGCTCACCGAGGCTGGTTTTTCTGATACAAACTCAGCTGTTCTCATTGTCAGAGGAGCTCAGGTCCTGTCTGTCACCCAGGGATGGCTGCTGTTAGCGAAACTCTGGTCTTCGCTTTGAGCGTTGGTTCCTAGCTCCAGTGCAGATCCCTCAGCCTGGTGGCACAGATCCTTCACCCCACCGGCGCAGGCTTTCTAGCTTCCACCACTGGCCTTTGGGCCTTCTCAGTGCAGATCCCTGATATGGACTTGCATGAGACATTGCTGTGGGCTCTAGGCCTCTGGCTGGACTCATGGAGGACATTGCCTTGTACTCTAGGCCTTTAGCTGGACTTCTGCGATACATTGCCGTGGGGTCCAGGCCCTTGGCTGGACTCTTCAGGTCTCTAGCATATGGACAGATCTCTTGCGCTCCTCTGCATTTGACTTTTTGGGTGAATATTATAAAATGATCCTATAAATTATGTGTCCTGTATTAAATTTATCCTCTTGCAAACCCTGACTGCAACAATCTGTATGCAAAAAGGGAGTCTCAGCTTTTACATTTTACTACAATATATTCAAAAATGAGCCATAGGGCCGGGGATTTAGCTCAGTGGTTCCACTGCCTGCCTTGCAAGCTGAGGACCTGGGTTCGATCCCTGGTACCAAAAAAAAAAAGAGCCACAGACTTAAATTTCAGAGTCAAACCTATAAAAATGTTAGAAGGAAACAAGAAAAAACCTTTGACCTTGGACTAGGGAAAGACTTCCTAAGACAACATCAAAAGTACAATCCATAAAAGAAAAAAATTGACAGTTGTACTTTATCAATATTACAAACTGCTCTGTGAAATACATGCTTTAAAATGTCAAGAAACACAAAATATTTGCATATCATGAGAATGTGACAAAGGGCTTCTCTATCTGGAATATTTAAAGAACTCATAATTCAGTAAGACAACCAATTAAAAAACAGCAACAGATTGAAATACAGTTCCATAAAGATAAAAGAATGGCAGATAAGCACATGGAAAAATACTGAATGTTATCAGTCATTAGTAAAATAAAACATTAAAATTGCAGTGAGGGGCTGGGAATTTAGCTCAGTGGTGCCATGCCTGCTTCGCAAGCCCAAGGTCCTGAATTCAATCCCCAGTACCAAGAAAAAATAAATAAATAAAATAAAAATAAAACTGCCATGAGATATCACTATAAACTTATTAAAATGGCTAAAATCAAAATGCTGATGGCAAGGATGTATACCAAGTGAACTCTCATACATTGCTAGTGAGAAAGCAAAACAGTACAATCACTTGGAAAACATTTTGGTAGTTTCTATGGTTTTTTGTGTTTTTTTTTTGTACCAGGGATTGAACTTGGGACTTAGCACTTGCAAGGCAGGTGGTGGAACCACTGAGCTAAATCGCCAGCTGGCAGCTTCTTATAAAGTCAGATACACAGTTTACCTAGGACCTAGCCATTCTGTCTGTTATGGTTTGAATCTGCAATGTCCCCCATAAGCTCATGTGTTGAAGGCTTGATCTCCAGTGCAGCAGTGTTCAGAGGTGGGGCCTTAAAAAGTGATTGGATCATGAGGACTTTAACTTCATCAGTGGGTTAATCCGCTGATGGATTGATTGCTAATTTGATGGCATTTTGGGAGGTGTCAGAAATTTAAGAGGTGGGGCCTAATTGAAGGAAGTAGGTTATAGAGCCATGACCTTCGGGATATATCTTGTCCCCAGTCCCTTCCTCTCAGGCTCTTTCGCTGATTCTGTTTGCCATGTGGTGAGCCACTTTGCTCTTACAACGTGCTCCCCACCATGATGCTCTGCCTCACTAGGCCCAGAAGCAAGAGTCAAGTGACCATGGACAGAAGCTTTGGAAGCTGTGAGCCAAAATAAGTCTTTCCTCCTTTAAGTTATTTATTCCAGATATCTTTCACAGTGACAGAAAGCTAACATACACCTTTAGGTATTCACTCAAGAAAAATGAACACATAGGTTTCCATAAAAATCCTGTACCAATACAGTGATACCTGGGTTCACGAACTTAATTCTTTCCATGATTCTGGTTGCAGAATTTGTTCCATGATTCTAGAATTGTGGAAAGAATTAATGCTTGCAATTTGGGTTACAACCAGAATTGTGGAACAAATTCTGTGACCTGAATTATGGAAAGAATTAAGTTTGTGAACTGAGGTACCACTGTATATACAGAGTGCCTTTATTTATATTTGCCAAAATAACTCTTTATCTTTTTCTTTTGACCTTTGAGTAGATAAATAGACTGTGTTACATCTACATAAAGGAATACTACTCAGCGATAAAAAAGAACAGTTAACTGATATATACAACTCGTATAAATTGCAAATGCTTCACACTAAAGAAAAGAAGCCAACTCAAAAGGGTCATAGGATTCCACTCTTACTGACATTCTGGGACAGAAAATAGATCAATGGTTGCCAGAGGCTAGGAATGGGAGAGGGTTTAACTACAAAAGAGCAAAGGAAACTTTGGAGGACAATGAAAATGTGCTATTGATTGTTAGGGTAACACAAAGAATGCATTTGTTAAAACTCATAGAACTACACTAAAAGATAAATTTAATTGTATATAAACTTCAATAAACTTTACTTTTAATAAAATTATGATATATTCATACAACTATATGTTATACAGTCATTTTAAAAAACGAATGGGGCCTGGGGATTTTGCTCAGTGGTTCCGCCACCTGCCTCTCAGGCACAAGGTCCCGAGTTCAAACCCCAGTACCAAAAAAAAAAAAAATGAATGAAGAGGGGCCAGGGTGTAGCTCAGTGGTGCCGTGCCTGCCTGGCAAATGCAAGATCTTGAGTTTGATTCCCTGTACAAAAAAAAAAGTGAATGAAGAGGACTAAGGATATAGCTCAAGGTACAGAGTACATACGAGGGCCTGGGTTTGATCTCTAGCATCAAATGATGATGATGATGATGATGATGATAAATGGAGCCACATATGCTGCTAATAAGATAATCTCTAGCATATACTTTTAGGAGTAAAAAGCAAGGTACAGAACAATAAATGCAGCATGTTCTCATTTATGGTAATATTGGCTGTCTCTGGGGAAGCCATCTGCAGTACCATTTTGTATTATTTGAGCTTTTCCCCCTACATGCTTGTATTACTTTTAATTAGAAAAAGTAGGAGAAACATGTACAGGTCAACAAAAACTCACAGGTGTCCGTTCAGGGGACAGAGAGGTGTAGGCTTGTGAAAACACATGGAAGAATATAACACTTTATCTGGAGGCACTCAATAAATAGCTGGAAGAAACAAAGTATCTGGAGTTAATTCAGAAGGCAGATCCCAGGCAGAGATCTCTATCTGAACAGCAGGTACTTGGCAGCACAGCCCCTGCTTTCTACAAGGAGCTAAACTGGGACTGTTCATGTTGGACAAGAAAAGGAGCATGCAACCAAATATCCTAGATGTTCTTGGGCCCAGCTATTTCTCAGCATTCCTTTGCCAGCGCAATGTGTGCCCCAACCTTGGCCTTCTAAGGATGGGAGGCAAGTCCTTCCCCTACTGAGCAGAGTCACCCTCAAGACCACTCTGGTGGTCCGAGTGCTATACACACCCAGAGGGTCCTAAGTAGCCTTTCTGCAGCCCCTTTGAATCAGAAGCTCCTCTCATTTTCCAAAAGAATAAAATGACCCTGACAGTCTCAAGACGCTCCGAATAAGACAAGATGATCTCAGCTCTTCAGCCCTTTTTCCATGCCAAAGCTTCAGGAAAGAATGAAGGTTGGTCACTAAGCAAGGTCTATTGGTTTCACTTAGTAGAATGAACTCTGTGATTAGGCACGGATTCTTTCAGGAAGCCTCACACCACTGACCACAAGCTCCAGAATGCAAAATGAACACAGAGGCAATGTGCTAAAACTCAGTCAGCCTTAGAAATTATTCTGTTCCTGCTCTATCCGAATTTTCCTCCCTGAAGCCACCTAGTAGGTTGCAGCTTTATTTGGCCACTGTCACTAGGACTAGGAGCATCTATGCTTGGCAGCTTTCCCTGGTTTCTCTGGATACCTGGTTTCCACGGGGTGACCATGTAGGTTCTACCTCCTTCCTCTCCCCCCCCCCCCCGAAAAGCCCACTGCATGTACAACTCCAAGAGGCAGGATGGAGGGTAAGGTATGGCCAAAGGCATAGAGCAGAGTTGGATAGAACCAACAAAACCCAAGACCTCTCCAGACATCTGTAGATTTCTGAATACAGGAGGGAAGTTACGGAAGAATCTTGTTTCCTCAGAAAAATACTGTGAGCTACCAGGTTTCTGACTCCCAGGCCATGACCCTGGTAGTCTAGTCAGTGGAAGGAACAAGAGCACTTACCGGGGAAAGATGGCAGTCATCAGGGCTGAAGCATAGCCAGGCTTGCAAGTTCCCTCTGAAAAGTTTGCGTACTTGGTGGCTAACTCAGCAGGCCTGTGGATAAAGAAGGAAAGTCACAGCTTGCCAATAACTGAATAATCAGTGGGTTATTAATTCATGAAAAGCTGCAGGGGCTAAAACCTTGAATAAAGTTCCATTCCCTACAATGAGCACTTTCCACCTGGCGAATTTCATGATAAAAAATCCAAATTCCTAAGAGAATAGACAGATCAATAGGCAAGGCTCCTCAATGGAATCTGTAAAAGGAATATCCATAGATTCTCTGCAGGAAGCTTGACAGGACAGAAATCAGGACCTCTATTCAGCTCCAAGACTGAGATGGTGGTGCTTAAAGTGCTTCAGTATAGAGCTGCTCAGGCTTTGACGTTGCCAGAGGCACTGTCCTTTCCAATTTTCTGGTATGTTCCTACAACTTGTTTCTTTTCTCCAGCAGTATGATCAAGCTATTGGGAACCATTCACAGTGACTTGAATATAGTAGACACAATAATGTGTGTCATGGGTGGTGTAACGCTAGCTTTTAATTGAGGATGCTCTCCTTGTCTCTGCCTAGAATAACTCCTTGTTCTTCCCCACCTGGTTTATGCCTACTGGCCCTTTAGAATCCCGCTCAGGTCACTTCATTGGGAGTAACTCCATGATCCACAGATCAGGCTGTGGCTCTCGGTGCTCTTGCTGTTCCTCCCCCTGCCATCCACATCACAGGCTCACCCCATCTGCACTGCCATATCGTGGGGCAACTGCTGCTGTATGTTTCTCTTACCATACCAGAAATGCCTGAGATAAGAGGCTGATTTAAACCTACCCCAGTACCTTGTACGGAGAGGGGGCACACAGAAGACCCCTGTAACTTTCTGAAGAACAAAATGATCCTGACCATCCCCCTGCACTTCAAACTGCAGACCAGGCAATCACAGGAAGCCACATCCACAGCCTATGCAATACCTTTCAGGAGACTGTGTTCTAGGGCTGGTTTTGCTGCTATGCAACTACAGCGGAGCTACCCCCATTGTTGGGTTTCAATGTCCTTACGTGTTCAATGTGCAGCTGGTGTCACTGCCCTCTACCAGAGTTCTACTCGGTTCAGTCTAGAGAAGACATCTTCACTGAATGTGCCCACTGACCCTGGGGGGTTAAAGGCCGGGCTTGCTGGGGCACCTGAGTGAACCTGGCTGGCTGCCAGTCCTGAGTCCCAACCTTCTCCACTCCCACCATTGGGCCAGCTGCCAACTCTCTAGTGCCCAGCTGCTGCACTGGGCAGGGCTTAATGGCAAACTTGCCCTCAGCGCTGTTCTCTGCAGGGACCCAAGAGTGGGGTATTGGGGGGAGGCTCTGTACTTGACAGCCAAAGTGATGATGCCATTTCCTGTGAGATCTGATTCACCCCTGGGGGCCTAGTTCAGGGCCTTACACAAGTAATCGCTCATTGAATATAGAAAAGCTTATCTGTATGCAAAGAATTTCTCTTAGAAATCTACATTTTTAAGCCTTCCCTACCAGTGAAATGCAAGGCCTCAAATGCAAATGCAGAATGACAAGCCCAGACTTTATTTGGTAGGCAAAAGAAAGTCAAAAATTTTAACAGAAGAAACAGTATTTTCCTATGTAAAAAACCCCTGTATTTTGGAAATGAAATATAAACTTCTGTGCAATTACTGAAATTATTGAAAGCTCTTGGACTAGGCACAGAGACTAAAACCTTCAGTAGCTCCTCTCCACAACCCTATGAGTGGGTGTAATGTGCTATTAATGTACACACAAGGCTCAAAACGATGAAGTTCATGCAGCTGGTTAAGGGGCAGGTACTGTATTTGTACCTGCTTCCCTCTAACACCTGTGTGTGAACTGCCAACAGAACACTACCAGCATGGGATGAGAGGCCAGCAGAGCCCAGTGGCAGCAAAGAAGGGGTCACCTGGCTGGCCAACAGGGAGAGAAGGGGGTTGAGAAGTATGTTCATAGGCAGTGTGGTATTTTCAGTCCCTTTATGCCAGGTCTCTCAATCCCTCACAATCCGCTTAATCTGCCTTGTACTATGAGTTCCTGTATTCTTTCTGAATTCTACAAAGATTCATGAAATTGGAAGATGGATATAGCTTCTTTTATTAACAAGGTGTGTTGAAGAACTTAATACACAACAGACAAACCACTTTTTTCTCCATAGTCTGTGTTCAGCTCTTGGAAGGTACTTGGAGGACTGCAGGACACAGCAGGGCTCCTGGCCTGATGGAGAGGAGGGAGCACATGCCAGCTGAAGCCAGGACCCAGGAGGGCAGCAGGAGATTTGATTCTTACCATGGCAGTGCAAGGTAGTCAAATACCAAGGATGAGCGCTAGTTCAACTCCTCGTTTAGAAAGCAACTCTGGGTACAGTGGGCCATGTCAATTATTACCAAATTAAAATGCCTTAGAAATGGCCTCCTGGCTGTCCCAGTGAGAGAAGAATAGTGGGAGTGTTGGGGATTCTGACTCATACGGCAGGCTGGGACCTCTGGGGCAGTCAGCGGTCAAAACCACCAAGATTAATGGTCACCAAATCCCTCAGGCCAGAATAGTTAGTTTCTCTAAGGCACTCATACTCAAATGCCAGGAGGCCCCCACAGATGTCTGATCAAATCATTTGGCCCTTGTTCTTCTCCTCTGCAGCTGGCCTTTCACTGTGGGAGACTTAGCATTTCAACCAGTAAGAGCACCCATTGTGCTACACACTGGCCATCAAGCCCCTGGGGTGAAGAATAAACCACACCCTCAAGAGGAAATCCAGACAGCCAGACTGGAACCTGGAATCAACACGACTTCCACTTCCCACCACCCCCTCCTTCACTCGAAGGAGTGAGCTTGAAGAATCAGGCCAAGCAATGGGGTGTAAACTGAAAGAGTGTGGGTCCATCTGGTATCCAAACCTCTCACAGGGGGCACTGAAAAGCTGTGTGAGCTTGTGCAAGTGATGGAAAATTTGATTCTCAGCTTCTTTATATGCAATGGGAATCATGTCATTCCCAGGATCTGGTGATGATGTGGCGAGAAAGCTGGCCATCTGTGAAGCATCATATGAATGCTACATGAAAGAGGAGGAAGCAGAGAGTAGCAGCCAGGTGGAGAAGCTCTGAGCACCTGGCTCAAATCTGGATTCAATTACAAGAGATAGTTGGGCAAGAAACAGTGTAATATCCCAATTGAGACGCAGTTGCCAAGGGAAGGGCACACCTTAAGGACACAGGGACCAACTACGTGTGCTAACTTAGTGCCATTATGTTCAAGGCACTCAATAGAAGAAAAGAAGAACGCGTGTGTAACACCTAGCATGCTGCCTGACAGAGCATATTATACCTCAGTCAAAGGCAGCCAATGTTACACGCTTGGGAGGGCCTGCAGAAAAGTGCAGCTGAGGCCCTCAAGCACAGAGCTCTTGCTGCCACTGTTGCTTCAGTTCCATCCTCTGCCCTTTCTGATGAAGAAGCACTTCTCCAGTTACTGGAGTTGTTTTGGAATGATGACATGGCTTGAGAAATGACAGAGCACCTCTGCCTGGAGTGAGTAATCTTATTCTGTCATTAAACATTTCCATTTTAATTTTTTCCTGAAATAGGCTTTATGTAAGCAAAGTATTGCCTTTGTCAAGGTCCAAAATGTAAATGTTTTTCCCTAAGGACAGTTTCTCTGTTCTCTAACTGCTCTCTTCTGACCCTTGTCACTAACTCTGAGGGCTCTTCTTGCATTGTCATCAATGTCTTATTCTGTCCATAGGTGGGGTGTCCCAACCCACTTCACTTGGACATCACCAACTATTCTCTGTCGCCTCCAGTGTAGACACGAGTTTCTCTACAGCTTCTGCCCAAATCCAGTCACTTGTGATAAATTCTGAATCACTGTTAACTACTCAATAGTTTACTCCAAATGTCACTCAGCGGCTGTTTGTTTACATACTATCCCCAGCTTTGCTCAGGCAGATGTCATTTCAACCAGTAGATTCTTGTTTGCACGAGATACACTTGTACTTGTTGTTTTTATATTTCCTGTTATATCTTATAAAAATAAAAAATATGCAACTTTTGGTCATCCTATATTTAAATAATTGAACTGGTAAGTGGTTTAAATGTCTTCTCTCAGTTAGAAGAGGAACTGCTTGCTCTGAGCCATGTGGAATTTGCGGAATTTCTCAGCCTTGGAGGTCCTGTATTTCTGCTCTTGCTACTGGGAGTGCAACACCTCCATCATCCCAGGCCACTTTCGTGTTTGGTCTGGGTTTCTACAGCTGACATTACTCCAGTTTCTCTCCATCTCAGGCCTTGTCATCTTCCTCCTGTTGGCTGCCAGGATGCTCTACAGGAAGCTCTCCCAGCACATTAGCCTGGTCTGCATGGACAAGTCTCACAGAGACTCTCACCAGGGCCTACTGTGACTGGTCCAACTCAGTTTTGTTTCCACACTTCCTTTTTTTTTTTTTTTTTGGTACCGGGGATCAAACTTGGGACCTTGCACTTCCGAGGCAGGCGGCGGCAGCACCACTGAGCTAAATCCCCAGCCCATACTTCATTTCTTTAAAAATAAAAACACATCCTCTTTCTGGGTGGTAGGAAAAGAATGAGGGAATTAATATCTACTGAGTATGTGCCAGGTGATCTAATGACCTAATCAAGCTTTACATAATCCTTTAAAGCAGTGCTGCCTTAGAGCTAGGCTGTAGGGCTAAGAGAGTCCAAAAGAAGAAACCCCTGGAAGATGTGCTGTTCTGTTTACATTATTAAAAATTTCCCATGACCAGGAAACTCATTTCAGCTCATATTTTGCCTGCAGTCTGGATAACACTTGCATTTGTGGCCATCACTAACAAAGTAGTCACAACCTGTGAGTCAGTGGAAGCCATTATGCATGGGCATCAGGAAAGACAACCTCTTAGCTCAAGTAATGTTGGTGTCAGCTGAAACAAATGGCCCTGGAGAGCTGAGGAGACAAGACCTACACTGTTTCTATACAACATGTTCCAAAAAGCCATGGCACTTTGAGAAATAACAGCACTGCTCTGGTTTCTTA